ATTTGCACCTTCTTCATTCTATATATATAGTATCTAGTTCTGTGTTTGTCATTGCATTCTTTCTAGGCAACGCTTAGCTCAGAGAAATAGTCATAAATTGATCAACCGTTTCAAACCCCTCTGATACAAAAACTTGTTGTTGGCTCAATTTTTAGCTCATCTGATGTAGTCGCATGATTGTCCGTCCGTCCGTCCGTCCGTCCGTCCGTCAACAGTTGGGCACAAATCTTAACCGCTTGACGTACGGTCAAGATATTCGGGATGTGGGGGTGGGGGGGTAATCCGAAAACGAGTTGGGATGTCGAAGCTGGGGTCAAAGGTCAAAGGTCAAGAGGTGTAAAAGAAGGGGGAACATTCCCTCCTTAACTTAAGTTATAGGGAGGAAATGCAGAATTGCGCACAAATCTAAACGGCTCAACCTAGGCTCGTGATAGTCGGTGTATAGCATCATGGTAGGAAAAGCCATCACTGTGCTGAAATTGGAGGTCACAGGTCAATGGTCAATGGGGCAGAGTGCTGATTTTAGACATTTTCTGAGGACATGGTCTGACCTAGCAATTGAAAAACCTTTTTGTTTCAGCGGTGACCTACCATTTTTATGGCTTTATTGAAAGGACCGTGAAATGTACTTTCCGCTAACATGCGAAGAGTAAGTGTCGGATAACATTTTGATCCTCAAGAGGAGGGTTAAACATTGATTTTTTGACTGTTAACAAAGGACTGAACTGCTTTTGCTATTATTAGAGCCCATACCTGTGTTAATGTGAGGCTACAGTTGCACAGTTTAATTGCAAAGTCGAATGTTTGTTGAACAAGGTTTACGCTCCTTAAATCATATTATTTTCTAAAGCAGTCTGTCTATAGCACCCTGAAGGCTGAATCAGTGAATGCTCGTTTGGGTAGGCAAAAACACGTGGCAGCCCATGGCTGGCACGCTTCTAATCATGATTATTGCCTGCCAACCTGCAATGCACATGTGTCTGCAATGCATAGAGATTAAGTGGGTGCAAAAGTGTAGCTGGTATAATTGTTCCAATTGGCTACGAAAGTCAAACAAGAATAAAGAAGACTTATGTATAAGATGTCTTGCTATTCACAAATGAATTTATCAGCAGAACACTAGACACCAGATGAGCCCTGCCGCACTGCGGCACTTGTTATATTTTAATAGTTATCCATACAATATGATAACGAAAGAATTTTGGTATCATATTTCTGTGTAAGTAATTAGGTGTCTGTGTGCATGCATGTATGTGTTTAGACAGTGTTTTCATACCTTTCTTTATTGCACGTAGATGAAACAAACAGCAAGCTTTAGGGCAGTTACACTGCCTAGCGGCACAAGTTACACGGATGTTGTGACAGGCAAAGGACCCGAAGCTAAACATGGCAAATTCGTAAGTCTTGATAACATTTTAATAACCAAATTATGAAAACGTTTTTCTATCAGCAGTTAGAAGCCTAACTTTTGTTCCAATCAAGTGGCCTGCCAGTATCTGTATAACACAGTATCTGTTGGAAATGCATCTTAAACCCTGTTGTCCATTACATCACTATTACATTATATTGTGAAGAAGTGTTTAATGTGATGTAATTGTCTTATCCATTTAGGTCCACGTTTATTACAAAGGCCAGCTAGCGCAGAATAAGAAGGAGTTTGACTCGTGCTTAACAGGAAAACCTTTCAAATTCCGGCTAGGAAGTGGAGAAGTTATAAAAGGATGGGACCAAGGGCTACTAGGCATGTATTAATGAAAAACCCAACTTGAACTACAGTTTGAATCTATCTATACACTTCAGTAAATTAAATAAAACATCGAATTCCTATATTAATGTTACATGTATGTTTTACAGTCTATAGATAAAGCATGTGACTTGAGAAGAAGAATGTGTTGGTTGTTTTAATTTGGGGGGGGGTGTTTGTTGGGGTTCACTACATGATTACTCATTACAGACTGCTCAGCTCCATGTGCATACTTCAGCTGTGCTAATTATGTTCCTATGTAATCTCGCATTGCATAGCTATGAAATATGTTAATAATTCTGTCACTAATTTAGATGGATACTTGTTCTTTTCTATAGGAATGAAGCAAGGGGGAAAGCGAACATTGAAGATACCTGCTAAAGAGGCTTATGGAAATCAGAGAATGGGGACAATTCCACCCTCTAGCACATTATTGTTTGATGTTGAGTTGAGGGCAGTCAGTTGAATAGTGTGACCTGCTTTGTGTTCTTCCACAGGAAAGGAGAAGATTTCCACAATTAACTATATTTCAATTTTTCATTACTTTTTATTAATCTAGTTCTGTGTTAATTTTATCATTAAATGTTTGATGAGTCATTGGGTTTAAATTGCCAAACTTATAGAGATAGGTAATCACCACATCACATATATTAATCATGGATTGCTTTTTTATTTGATTGAGCATTCATCTCATTAGTATTGTGAGATATGTATAAAACAGATATCCATACTCCTTTACTGCAGGAGACGTATATATAGTCATTTTCATTTACTTAACTTCATTTACTTATGAATGGGGGTCAAGAGTCCATAATAGAGAAGAGTAAATGCTGTAAAACAGTGTCATACTCTTCTCTATTATGGACTGTTGACAGGGGTACAACTTAGTAATGTTTCTGTGTTTGCATATGCAAACGAAGTCCGGAGGTGTGAGTAATTATTTAACCTTCATGTTAAAGGAATAATAGGTCCATTGATTATGCAATGTTGATGAATGCTAGAGTAACTGGCACCTTGTGTAGTTAATAAGTACATTACCTTATAGCCAAACGCGTATTAGTTGGTCCAATATCACTGCTGGTTACTAAGAAATGTCTAATTGAAATCCGCAGTCCAAGAAATCAATTGTACCAGTTTCAAACCGCTGCCAGTGAAGCGGGTGTGATACAGATTTATAGTGCACTGGACATTTTGGCACGCATGCTCCGCCATACGCAATGCTATCATCAGTGATTTCGTAAACACGGACGCTCGTTATAAGAAACTTTTTGTCAGGGCTGTCCATGTGCGTCCGTGATTAGTACGTGTGTTTTACTCCATTTTCATGTTTAGTCCGTGGCCGTGGTTACACCGCTGACACCTCCATTTTATCTGGCGTCATCATCTTGACTCCTGGATGACATTTACGGCACGTAAATGAATATCAACAACCGATTTCAAGTCTTGCTTGTAATCTAACCAGCAGTGATATTAGACAAACACGCGTTAGGCTATAAGGTTACGTACTTATTAACTACACAAGGTGCCAGTTACTCTAGCATTCGTCAACATTGCTGAATCAATGGGCTTATTATGCCTTTAAGGAGAGGAAACAATGTGTTCATAAACAATTATGTGAGGGTGCTATCAATCTCAGCTGGCTGCCCATTAAATTTGCTATGCATTGATTGTGTACCTGATTTAATAACACACATCCCCAACTAAAGACAGAGGCATGTTGAAACAATAGAGAAATCCAAGATTTTTGGAATCTTATAAAATCTTATTCCAATGGAGAAATTGTTTATAGTTCATCCTGATGAAACATTATGAGTGTAGTGGTTACAAGCATCATATTATATAACTAGGCTTTACAAGAGATATAATGTTATGCTTATTTGTATTATAATTGATATTATTATTTATATATTATTATCTATATATATAAAGTTGTTCAGCCAAATAAGTCCGTACTCGGATAACTAGAGAACTCCGCAGCCTAGAGGAAAACCAAAGATATTTTCAGAATCAGCACGTCTGGGAGTGGTTCTGGCTGAAACAAAAATTTTAAAAAGTTAAAAAGTTAAAAATTTGTAAAAATTCTATTCATTAATAGATGGCGGTGCGTACTGATTAACATCACGTACGTGTGAATCCATGGTGTATACCCTTAACGGCGCAGTGGCCTAATCGGTAGAACATCCATCTCCTATATCGGGATTCCGGGTTTGAGTCCCAGCTGGGGAACTTGTTTTCCCCTTTTTTTCCTTTTTTCCCTTTACCTACTTCTTTAGTATGTACTTCTGCAACTTCTGCCACTTCAAAATTTAAAAAATAAAATTTACTACATTCATTAAAAAAATAAGAAAAGTTAAAAATTGAAAACAAATTAATACTTTACTATTCGTCAATAAATGGCGGCAACGTGCGAGTGTCTTAAGATTATTTTTTGGTAGCAACAACAACAACAACCAAAGCTCTTCTTCTTTTGATTTTTTAATATTTTTTACTGTTTGGGATGGGATGCGGTGATGGGATGGCATGGCATGGCATGGCCTGAGGGGATGGCATGGAATGCCGAATCGGCGAATGGAATGGGATGGATGGAGTGCATGGATGCATGGATAGATAGATAGTTAGATTTTTTGGGTATTTTCCTTTCAACCAAGCGGTCACCAACTGAGTAACGCCACTTTTTTTAATTTTTAATTTATTAATTTAT